GTCAATATATTTGGCCTTTCTTATGATGACTTCTTTTTTTTTTTTTTTTTTTTAATTTCAAAAGCTGGCTAGACTGAATGGTAGAGTAGCTCAATTTTGTTAGTGCTGTTGTTGGTGTAATGTGGCTTTCAACCATCCCCTTCTACTGTTTCATCTCAAAACAATCATTTAGTACTTACTTAGCTTTGAGAAATATGCAAAGAAAAATAAAAGTTAAATATAGACACCTGCACAGTCACCACATAGTACTGGAATCTATACAACTAAGCAAAGAAAATAAAACTGATCACAATCACTATATTCTATACAATCAACAGAAAATTTGCATTGAAAAGTTCCAATGTAAAGTCAGCTCCCAATTCTCTCGAGTCTTTGGAATTCTCCTCCATCCAGCTATTGGCATGACGAACATATCTCAAGAATTTCATAAAGAATCAATTGAAATGTTCTAAGATTCCTTTTCCTCCATAATGTATAGGCCAAGTTAGGGGTGACTCGTGGAGTACAACTTCGACTTAATCAAGTCGAGGCTCAACATAATTTTACGAAACTCAAATTCGAGTTCGAGTTTAAAAAGATAAAAAATAGATATTTTATTTTTAATAAATAAATAAAATAATAATTTTTCTTAATAAATAATAAAATATTAGGGATATATATGTTATTTTATTATTAAAATAAAAAATAATATATATATATATATATGTATATATTCGAGTTCGAACTGACTCGCAAGCTAACAATAGTATTTTTCAACTCAAATTCGACTTGGTCAGCAGATGAAACTAGGAACTGATATTTTGGGCAAATCGGTATAAGATATTTTCCAAGAGCTGTTTGGAAAAGTAATACGTAATTATGAAATTCTAGCTTATTGTGGTAAAGTTGCGTCTTAGATTAGAAAATAAGCTAGTTTTAGATATTTCTTTGGTACATGAAAACGAGGCCATAAATTCCTCGAGGCCGATGGAACCGATAAGTTATCAATTTAAAGGGCTTCAAAATTCAATATGAGTAAATATATAAATTATTTAGCGAAAATGACCTGTTTCATCTTTCACATTTCGCAAAAATATTCTCTTCGTCTCTCACTTTTAAAATAAAGCAAATTCATCCCTGACATTTAAAAATTAAAACTATTACATCCCTGAACCTAATTTTCAATCTGAATCAAATCATTCAATAGCCCAGTAATAAATTTCGGAAATAGAATTGATAGATCACTCGGTCAATTTCATCATATTCACATGACATTTATTAAACCAAAAAAATAAAAATTATAACATAAAAGGTCATTCTTTGTCTTGGAATAGTGGGGATTTTTTTTTTGGTAAATCTTTTCATACATCGTTAGTATATCCGCTTGCGAATCTAGATGTGTATCATAAATATAAAATTTGGTGTTTAAATTTAAATTGAAATGATATGGCGGTTCATAAAACCGTCAGTGTATACAATGATAATGTAGGAAAGATTAATCTTTCTTTTTTATGTTATAATTTTTTCTTTTTTCTTTTTTGGTTCATTAAATTTTACATGAATATCAAGTTGAGTTAACCAAATGATCTACTAATTACACTCCCAAAATTTGTAATCAGGTTGATTGGTGGTTTGATTCAGATTGAAATTTGGGTTCAGGAACGTAAGAACTTCAGTTTTAAAATGTTAAGGATGAAATTGCTTCGTTTTAAAAGTGAGAGACGAAAAAAATATTTTTGTGAAATGTGAAGGATGAAACCGATCATTTTCCCAATTATTTATCATCCAAAGAATAAAGAAATCGGAACACTGGAGTCTTAAGGAATAAAAGGTATTAATCAATTTTTGCAATGCAGGTAATACCTTCCTAAGTAAATCTCTTTGTGGATGAACGTACAAGGGAACATGGTGATAGTTACGTTGTTTACGGGATTAAACATGGCATGGCACAGAAAATTGGACCTCGTTTCGAAATGCACCAAGATTGAGCTGGTGCTCCAGCCAGGTATAATATTGATGAACTCTTTCAAATTTATCTTCGATACAAAATGGTTGTAAAATGGAAACTATCAAATTAAAGTACAAAACTTACAGTATATAAAGGGCATCCAATTTCCAAAGGTGAGTGCAATTTCCAAGCTTGTGAAATCTTTCTCAGTGAAAAACGTGACAGCTGCAGATTGCAAGGCAACCATGAAGCACATCCTTGCATGCTGTTACGGGTAAATGATCGGGATAGCTCTTGGACACCGGCACCTGTTGAGAAAATGCAACACAAATATGGATATACTGTTAACTGATTCTCAAATTGTGTGATTCCAATAGAGAAATATCGGGTGGTTTCACCTGCAAAAGTTGCCAAGCTGACCGGCAAATTGTGCCTGCTAAGGGGATGAAACAACCAAGCAACCATATCTCATCTCCCTTTTTGAATAACGAATGCATTAGCTGAAGCTCCATGCTTAGAGTTCTTGGCCCTTTTAGTAATGGCATGCTTATGGCTCCAGCAACAGAGCTGATTGTTCCGATGATCTTGGCTATACTCCTGAAGCTTTGGATATTCACTTTCTCTAATCTGTAATTGACATATATTAAGGTACGGTATTCGAGTGAAATTTAAGAAATAATTATAGACAAAAAGAGTTCAAAAGAATTTATATAAGTTACTGTGCTAATAGATTTCTGTTGCTTTGAGATAACATAATAATTATGCAATCAAAAGTAAAAGGGATGAGATCATCCATTGTATATAGAATCATTTACTTTTTCATGATGAATGTAAACTCAGTCCTCTTTAAATTTGCATTAATCTCCTTGATAGTTACCCGACAATGTAGGCCGCCGCAAAAGTTGTTGCAGGAAGTAAATTGACCATTGCACTTGCTATTGAAGATGAGGCCAAATGTATATAGGCCCTTAAAATTGAGATTCTTGTTAAATGTTACTCTGCACAAGGAATGTATAGAGGAAAAACTTAATCAATTGGATACTCACATTAGTTTAGCTTCCACATACACACAGATACTCAAAAGAGAATAACTTACAAAATGAGGGATATTAAAAATAAGATTAATTTGATTTTACACCTCTGAACTTGTATCACTTTCTCACTTTGCGCCCTAAATTTTAATTTTGGACACTTTTCACCCTAAACTCTCATAGTTGTTCCATTTAAGTCCAATCAACTATTATATTCGCAAAATTAATGAGATAAAGAGCGATAAAAATTAACAACAATGTCCTGTTTTGTTTCGACTACGATTCCTTAGCTTTGTTGCTCATGTTTAGCACATTATCATTTATTTATATGATCTCAATTATTAATATTATTAGCAAATTAATGAGATAAAAGATGATACAAATCAATGATAGTGAAAAAAATAAAACAAATTAATGATAATGTATTGTTTTATTTTTGCTATAATACCTTGGCACCTTTTGATTACTTTTGGCACATTATCATTGATTTGTTAGATCCTCTATGCAGTTAATTTTTTAAAAGTTGTTATTAACTAGATTTAAATATGACGAACTTAAGAATTTATCATGTAAAGTGTCTCAAATTGAGAGTTTAGGGTGTAAAGTGTTCAAAATTGAAGTTTAGAGTACAAAGTGAGAAAGTGATATAAGTTCAAAGGTGCAAAGTGGAATTTGTCCTTAAAATATCAACCTCTTCCATCCTAAAGAATATCTACTTATCTTACTCCGGGCAACCCCAACCAAAAAAAAAAAAAAAAAAATTTTGTGTAAATTTTTATTTTGGGTCAATCATCACTTTCTACACTGCTCTTGCTCCTACACTATAACCTATCTAAGGGAGGGTCTAGCTAGATTAGGGGGAATCAAGGGGGACTGAATCACTATCGGATCAGACGGGTGCACTACACACCCGTTTGAATTTGTAGAAACCACTTATTAGTAACAAGTGTTGGGAGACATATGCCAAATGTGCCTTGGTCATCTCCGTAATTGCTAGTTAGCTTGCAAAGTATGGTTTTGAGTTCAAATTTGAAAGTGTGTTAGGAATGCAAAAGCTTTAAGGTGGAGCAACTTGGGGAAATCCATTAGACTGTATGAAGGGAGAGCTGGGTGCAATTAGACATTGAAGCCTCAATTGGATGCTCTTATTATCCTTCAACACTTTAATAACAAATTTTTAGCTTTCTTCTTTTAAGTACTTTCTTTTTTGGTGGGGTTGGGGATGGGGTGGTGTTATTATAAGAACAGATGGATTTATCTATTTGAAATTGGTAGGAAGTTTGTTAAGGATGAAGGGAGAGCTGGGTGCAATTAGACAATGAAGTCTCATGAGGATGCTCTTATTATCCTTCAACACTTTAATAACAAATTTTTAGCTTTCTTCTTTTAATTACTTTCTATTTTGGTGGGGTTGGGGATGGGGTGGTGTTATTATGAGCGGAGATGGATATATCTATTTGAAATTGGTAGGAATTTTGTAAAGGAAATTTTAAAGATATGACCGATATGCTGGTCTCATTTGAAATTGGTAGAATGGTAATCAGGTATGCTGGACTCATGCTTTTAAAGATTCTACCTGTGCCTTGGAAAAATCTTTTTCATGCCGTTTGGAACATTTTTTTCATCAATAGGAAAGTATTGAACCACTGCCTTGCGTGCAAAGATGATTTGTGATGATTCTGTGTTGGATGTACCTTGTTAATTGATTTGTTGGAATACAGGAATTTCATAATTTACTCAACTTCTGTTGGATTACATTGTATTATACCGCAGAGAGCTGTGTTGGCCAATGCATTATGTGGATCTATTGTTGCACTCTACTATGCTTGAATTCTGAAAAAAGTTTGCAATGCAGGCCTGAAAATTTTACAGTTGGAAAAGTTACTGGCAGATTTTTTAACTGAGACATGTTTTTCTGATTAACCTGGCACAGGAATAAGCTTCCTCTGATGAGTAGCTTGCCGTGTTAAGAGCGCTCAGTAATGGAATCAACCTTTCTGCAGATTTCTTAACTGAGACATGTTTTTGTAACATGTTTTTGTAATTAACCTGGCACAAGAATAAGCTTGTTCCATAGGAACTTCATTGTTTAAAGCCCAGTAATGGAATCAACCTTTCTGCTTATCCAAAAGCTTGGCTTTAAGTGAATAATAACTTCATACAGTCAAGTGTGTTATATGAACCCTTATGATTGTAATTGGTTTTTTAGGCATTTTAAGATTTTAGTATATCATGTGCCAATTAAGGTGTGGAATTGGTGATGAAACACTTGCTACGCTTTCATTACTTCTGCTATTGTGCTATACTTTCTGCTGCATTTCCTGTCATTGACTGCTGCATCTCGTCCATGATTTCCCCTTGATTGTGTCCCCAGTGTTTGTTGCGTTTATGCTGGTGGAGATGTAACCTTTGAACTTGATGCCATTACTATTGTTATGTATGGACCTTTCAATTATTTTCTCTAGTTCAGGAACAATTTCTTGCTCTGAAATGGCACTTACAGGCAGAAAGGGAGAATCAGTGAAGAATGTAGCTGAGGAGACTAGAGATATAGGACAAAAGATTAAAAGAATCAGCATTGCAGACCAGCATGTAGATGGATATTCTTATCCTAGAAGTACTATCATTAAGCATACTGTACTGCAGCAAGAAACATTGAAGCATGTAATTAAACAAAGTTGCTGGTCTGCTTCTGTGCAAGGTACACATTTTCAATGTGAACTTGTGCAAGGATTGCCTTGGATCAGTTTCCTTTATAATAACAGTTTCCTTTAGAATAAGGAAAAACTCGTCTGCCTTTATCTTTGGGGAGGTAGAAATTTAATTTGGTTCATCTATTGAACAGTTTGCAGTCAATTTTTTATTCTTTCTCTTCTTTTAGAGCTACATTTTTCTGTATCCTATCTTTGAGACTTTGTTTCTGGATTTTATCGAATAATTGGAAAAAAACTTTTTTCCTTTCCTTTTAAAGTTGGAGTGAATTACTTTTATCCTTTCCATTCATACATATATGATTGTTTTTTGTTTATAGGAGACATGAGAAAGGAGAAAAAAGGACGAAAATGGCCCAAACCAGACGGAAACATCGCTAAAAAGTTTGTCTTACTGTAGAAGTACTTTTTTTTTGTTTTTGGTTTTATTGATATTGGTAACGAGTAAGAAAGATGTAATGTTGTTTAATGTTTTCTGATTCAACAACTTTGCTAGAATTCACTGGAAAGGTTACCAGATTAATTCAGAGTTTAAGACAGAATAGGTGTGCTGAGCGCCTTTGATATGTAACTACTAACCTAGTTCGCCTTGGTAAACAATGAGTTTTTAGAATTATAGTGGAGTAACTTTTCATGTCCATTGTTCTGGCTTTCATGTCCATGAAAGCCATTGTTCTCCATTCATGTCCATGATGACAAGGAACTTCTGGCTTTCCTATTTTTCTGTTGACCATTAGTAGTCTATGTAATGTTCGCTCTTTCTCGTCTGATATTTGTCTGATATTTGGTTGGAGCTAGTGTCACAGTTTCATTTTGTAGATGCATTTGTATTTTGTAAATTCTGAAAAATACTCAAAAATGATATTTTTTTTGGTTCTTGTCACAGGAAAAGGATTGCTCGGGCCTAATGTCAGAAAACTTGTGCAGCAGTGAGCTGCACGTCTACCATAACTTTTGAAGACCGAGGTAGGTTTGATGTGAATTTCTAGAATTAGGTATCTGTCTGTGATGTTTCTGTGGTGGTTTAGGCTGTAGTTCTCAGTTCCTCTGTCTCAAAGCATCTTTCAGCACTGTTCTTATTTCCTTTCATATGTAGTACATGACTGATGATCAATGAATTAATACAGGTTTAGCTTAGTTGCCAACAACGGTTTGTTTAATTGCTCCATATTTATTGGCATACGTTGCTCTAGCCTTTGCCAGCGAAGGACTGTAGTGGGTTGGTCATATCATATGGGATAACTTATAGGTTAGCAATTTCATTAATAGTATTATTTACAATGGTACAGATTTGCGGCTCGTATATGAAGGAAATGAAATTGCTCCATATTATAGATTTGAAGGTTTATACTTGAAGATAATCTGGTCTAAGCACTCCTAACTGTGCACTGAATACCAGTACCTAAATAGTATGTCACAAGGATGGATTCTGACGTACATGGGCAAATAAAGAACACCCCTGAAAATCAAAGAGAATATTGATGATTTTCTGTGGTTAATGCCAAACAAAATGATGCTAACATGCAATGTTACATGTCGGCTTTTTCCAAAAGGCATCAATACAACCCCGGATAAGCCTTGTGCTGAGATGGTCTTCCTAATACACAAGTGACATTTGGCGATAAGCTTGTGCTTGTGGTACCAGAAGAGAGCTAGCTGGGAGTGTGAGCACTCATGAAAGTTGGGAACCATGTTAGGTTTAATGGAAATCTATTGGCAGGCCAGATATTCGAAAGGCAGTGAAAATTTTCAGAGAGAAGAAGAAGCTACGAAGAGAATTTAAAGGATAATGATAAGGGAGCTAAGCACATGGTTTTCAAATGTATCAATCGACTGCGCAAAAAATTTTCAAGCTTGAGAAAAATTACAGTTCTATAACAATCGGAATACTTTGGGATGCAGCTTCAAGTTATAAGCTTCTTATTGTCAAAATATTAATCATGCGTTTAGGACATCGAGTTGTGCTGATATCTCTAGCATACTCTCCAATGTGAAGGTCATTCAAAGGCTCGTTAACCTTCTTGTTGATATGTTTTACTAAGAACTATCAGTAATTGTGGTGAAAGTTGTGAAACTTATTGGACTGTGTTGCAAGTTGTTGCATACGTAAAACCTTAGCCACATTTCGAGTCTTGTCGATTCCAGGATGTTGCATCTTCTTTGTTCGGTTCCGTAAAATCAACATCCTCTGCATGCATTAGGAGGCCATATTCAGTTTCAATTTAGGGAGACTCTGTTGTCATGAAACTTTTGGTATCTTTAGTCAGATAATGATCGCCTATCCAAGAAGAAATTTGGATAAAAAGTCGAGTACATTGGATTTCTTCCTCAGTCCTCAGATTCTCAGGAAGTTGTTACGAGACACGTACATTAATTACTGTTACAATTTCATATCTGACATCCGGTGCATCATTGTATCCAGACAGTTGATGTCTTTTTCAAGCACTTCACTTTCGGCCGTTACTCTAGAAGAAAACCAAGGAAACCACCAGCCTTGGGGCTGTTGGCCACCACCAATGCATTAAGGCTTGCCTCCCACTAATTTGCCACAATTAAAAGCGACATTGTTTAAAAAATCCAGACAGGTGTTTAGTGCACCCGTCTGGTCCGGTGATAATTCAGTCCCCTCTGAATTATCCCAGAACGTCTTCAAACCGACCCTCCCCATATAGTACAGGAAGCTATCGTATCGAAAAAAAAAAAAAAAAAAAAAACCAAGGACACCTAGTAAGGTGCAGACTGAAACGGTACTGCTCAATTGTTCATTAGTGAGGCAGAGAAGGGTCTTTTTCTTGAGGGGTCAATATTTAATGAGGCACACGTGCATGGATAGTTAGGTTCTTGATATGGATCATAACATTTTTCCAGTTGTTTTTGTTGAGTTCCACAAGTTGGTGCTGTCTTAGATTGTCAGCATGCATGTGGTTTTGTGGATGTTAGTTGTGGCCTTGCTTCTGTTTGGTAGAAATCCCACGAGGCCCCCATACTCTATTTCTATATCCAGTTGTGGATGCTAAGAATTGGTAATCCCTGCTCATGCCAAATCGTTTTGACCTCAAAACATGTAATAACAGAAAAGATTAAAAAGTTCATCCCTTCTTTCTCTTAGTACATGTCAACTCATCCAATCCCAGTCGAATGCATGAGTGGAAGCCCGTGAGTTTTGGGAGATGTCACCTAAAAGCTACATTTTTTGTGGTGTATACCGTCGGCAAAGGAATGGTTTATTGCGTAGCATTATTACTATCAGTGGTGGATTGACGTATGAGCGCTCGACATGCTTGGTAAGCTCAGTGGCAGGCAGTATCTAAGGGTCTCATTCATTCACAAATCCATCACTAATTGAGGTTGCTTCTTTGATTTTATCCATAACCATCTTCTTCAGCATCACGACCATTTCACTAGGTCAAAAATAGAGTGTTATAGCTGCAACATCAGGCACAGTTTCCTTTTGCGTTTTCTTTTTTTCTTTTCATTTCTTTTTTTTTTTTTTTAAAGTGATGTCTATTGTCTGCAACACAGGAAAAACTGACTGTTAAATTTTATCTATCTAGTTGTGTAATAAAGTAAGCTGAGTACCACCACGAATCTCCTCTATCTTAAATTTATGATCACTACGACCCTTATTTTTAGCCTGTGATCAAGCCCTTTTTTCATAGTCACGAATATCTGTTTGCGGTGGTGCCAATCTCAAAGAACGACCTCCTGTTTTCTGTAATCGGACGCTACCTTTCAGGTAGTGAAAACTATTTCTTTTTAACTAAAAATGTCTAATCGTAACCGGGGTTGATTGGATTATTTTCTTGGTGAAGATATTATTATCACGTCTTTGCTTAAGGTTACAGTCCATAAGGGCTGGTATTCATCATGCCAACTACCATTGTTCTTGTCAAGAAAAGACGTTTCATGGTGACATTTGCGTTTCCCCACTTCTTGTTCTTCTTGAAGATCATGCAGTAAAATGAATAGAGAACGACCTCCCTCTTGCATAATAAACAAATAGGTATACATGCATTAACAAATACATTACACTTAAACCGAAACAGTTAGATCAAGCAGTCTTAAAATACTTTAACTGATTTGTAAAAAAAAAAAAAAACTTTAACTGACTTGAGCTGTAGCTTATAATAATTGTCTTTAGCGTTCTAAAAGTCTATGCGAATATGGTGAAACGAGAGAAAAGTAGTATCTTAGTTCAAAAAGTGAAACACCGAACAAAAAAATTCAGCAGCTTTTTCGACACCAGAGTTTGTGGAGTCGATGGAGATATTGCAATCGTAAATCGGCCAAATAGTTGAAGAACTAAATAAGATAATTTATCTTCGGGAAAAGCATTTGAATCAAGAGTTGTTACTCAACTGTTAATTAGAAATTAAAAACAAAAATATTCTACAACAAATGATTCAACATAATCATGATCAGTAGTAGCTTGCATCATTGCATACAGTCGGTCAGTTGGCGTCTCTTTCTACTTCTGTGTATACTATTTGAAATTGATAATACTACTCTGCTTCTCAACTATTTATTGACAAGAGAAAAATTGAAAGGAGGTTTCTCCCTGGACCTCGAGGGGTCGTCGTTTAATGGGAACGCACGTGCGTAGCTATCCCAGATTAGTTCTCTGGACAATGGATATCGAGCTTAGTACTTGGATTCATGGTAGAGTTGCTTTCATATATGAGGCTGCTGTCCTAAGTTTTTCAGGTGTGGTAGTTAGTTGTGACCGTCCTTTGTTTTTGCTTCCAATACTCTTCCTCTCTATGTATTGTAAGAATGACCTGAATATTTTTCTTTTTAAAAAAAAAAAAATTTCACAAATTCTTGAGGGAGAGAAGAGGATTAGAATTCAGAACCTCTAAATCTTGAGATCTCAATTGATTAGCCATTAATCCGAGGTCTCCTTTGCAATTAAGATTTTCTGATATTATAAATATTGTGGCATATACTTCCTGCCAGAAATATTTTGCTCATAAACCAAAATATTATCCACATTTTGTTTCGCCTGCAAATTATTTAACCAAAAAGATTTTATTTGTCCATCTCTTCCTCTTGAAAAATATTCATGGCTCTAAATCTCGTGTATCTCAATTCATGTAGCCCAAGAAAATTACATGTGGGAACCATTAGATATGTTTTCTGGACGGAACTTTGGAATTGCCATGAAATGCTGTCGACGATGGCCTATTTAGCTTTTCAATCGATGCATAAACTGCAATGTGCTGTGTGATCAGTTGAAATTTATCCAACATCCGGGGCCTTATCTCCTTTGAAAAATCTTTATACATAGACATCAAGATTCACATCTTTCCTTTGTGGATAACCCTCTTATTCTCCTAACAACCTGTCTTAATCTAAAATATATATTTTTTTTTGTTCAAAAATTTTGGTAAAAATTTTCTCAGTATAAATCAATGATCAATCACGTCCTCGTCAATCATGCAAACTAGTAACTGCGTAACAGTTGGCCCAGCATCAAAGAGAAACAGCCCTAGTTACGTAAACATGGTATCTATAAAATTCAAAGTTTTATCATGCTCAAGAACCACCCAACTTTTTTTTTTTTGGTCAATAATCTATTTCTTTTGACGTCGAATAATAACTTCAGTTTATTTCCTTTGGAGGTGCAGAATTGAGTTCTAACTTTTAATTCAGTCTGGTCCTTAGTCAGTTAGTCGAACACATGAAGTCAACAAAACTTTATAGCTCTCGGCTGTCCAATTCTTACAAATACCTTGAAATATTGGAGTCAAGTAAATATAACAACAATGACATGCATATGAATTCTCATTTTACGAAAGAACCAAACAGATCTTAAGATCTTTAATGCCCCACGTAAATCCTGTTTGCCACAAGCTATGACAAAATGGAAGTGTTACCTCGATTGGAGAAAAGTACTTAGCTTCAATAATATGGGATTATTTAAATAGCATTTTAGTCAATGTTCATTTTTGTGTTTGACTTGAGCACCACAAATGCTAATTTTGAGTTAGTAACCAAACATGTTAAAAAATACATTACCATTAGTGGTAAATATATATGACAATCTCATTGATGTTTATGGGAGTACATACTAATTTGCTCTCTTTTTCTGTTCTTGTGAATATAACAAGGGAAACGGGTCACAGGAATCAAACGCTTACATTTGGAC